CCGGGGCTAAGAGAGACAGCTACCTTTGCTAAAGCATGTGCTTCTCCGTTATGCTTCCTATTCTCATGAAGAAACTTTACATCCTGAAAATGGCTCCCCTCATGCTTGATATCTAGTAGGATAGAAAAATATCGGCAAGGAACTTCGTCTTGTATGTTCCTTACTACCTCCAGGCAATCTGAAGCCACACAAATCGATTGAACCTGCAGATCCGAGGCGAGGGAGAGGGCCTCGCAGCATGCCTGTGCTTCGAGTATAGTTGCGTCGAGGCAGCCGTCATAGATGATGGCCGAGACACCCAAGTAGTTTCCTCGTTTGTCTATGCATACCACTACTGCAGCTGCGTCGTCGCCGATCTTCGAAAAGCCTGCATCAACATTCATTTTAACATCATGGTGCTCAGGCGGGAGCCACGCATGCGAAGGCGAAACCCCTGTCCACTTCGGGTTGCATGCAGGTCCCTGGGAATCACATGCAAGTCCCCAAAAGTTATATGTAGGTCCTTGGGACATGTTTTCTTGTCCGACATCATCTCGAGCTCCGCCAGAAACTTCTCAGCGAAAGTATGGGTGCCAGCAGCTAGAGCACATGTCGAGGCCCAATAGAGTTGTGTGGCCTTAGTGCTTCTTCCAATATACTACAAACATAATAGATATGCTTGCTTCTAAAAAAAAGTGCTCGCCGCATTGGTAAGTGAGGCATGTAGGTTCTATACGGCGCGTACCGCGCCCGTGAGCGCCGTGGCGCGTACCCCCCCCCCCTCGCCCGCTGCTATTTCTATGGAACGGCCCATTTCGGGGTTTAACCCCAACTGGTTTTTATGCTTTTCTTTCGGTTTTCTTTTTCTTTTTTTTTTCATTTCCTTTTTCTGTTTTCTTTTCATTTTTTCTTTACTTTTATGTTTTCATTTTTACTCTTGTTTTTCAATTACTGAAATCCTATTAGTTCGCGATTTGTTTCTAAAATCGTATTTTTTTTGAATGATGAACATTTTTTTCCAAAATCGTGGTTTTATTTTTACTAAATCATTACTTTTAAATCATGAACATTTTTTTGAAACTATGAACAGTTTTAAAAACTCATGATTTTTTTTGAAATCATGAAGAATTATTTTAGAAATTTGTGAACATCCTCTTAAGTCATGAACATGTTTTTCAAATCATCAACAATTTTTTTTAAAATAATGAACATTTTAAAATTAACGACTAATTTTTCAAAATCATGAACATTTTTTTCAAATTTGTGAACATTTTTAGATTTAGCGAACAATTTTATGAATTGTGAACATTTTTTCCAAATCCGTGACCATTTTTTTTGAATCATGAACATTTTTTTTCCAAATTCGTGAACATTTTTCGAATTAGCGAACATTTGTTTGAATATTTTAAATTATGAACATTTTTTTTAAGTTTGTGAACATTTTTACACAAATTCGTGAACAGTTTTTGAATTCCAGAGCATTTTTCTGTAATCATGATTTAATTATTTTGTGAACTTTTTTCAATTTCACGAACTTTTTTTGAAGTCATGCACATTGTTAAATTCATGAACATTTTTGAAATTCGTGAACATTTTTTGCCAAATTCATGAACAATTTTTGAATTAATGAGCATCTTTTTGGAAATTTGCAACTTCTCTGAAATTTTGGACCTTTTAATATCCCGAATTATTGAAAAAAGAGAAAAAAAGGAAACGTCCGCAAAAAAAACAGGCGGCGTCCAGGCCACATATGGGCCGTCCCAGAAGGGGAGCGGTTGGTCCGCACCCGCTTCCTTTGCAGCGCGTGCTGCGCTCTAGGGGAACTCCTATATGACGCTCTCTGCGTCAAGTTGCTGTAGCTTCGCACAGGAGCGTCCCCGACTGGGCCGGCCCATGAAGATGGCGATCAACATGAACGAGCATTGCTCAAAAAATACTGCGACAACGGGGATTCGAACCGACAGATCCAAATGATATGTTCCTACCAGCTCACCTCGCACTCGTATGTGCTCATAACTTAGCATCAAACATAAAGAACTCGACACGCTTCGCAGATCCGAATTACTTTAGAAATTTCAAAAGTAGTTTATTTTTTCAAAAACTGGAATGTTCTGGCAAACACAAACACTTTCCAAATTTGGAACAATTTTCCAAAAAATTATGACATTTTCGAAAAATCAGGGACATTTTTTTGAAATCATGAACAATTTTTTGTAAACATGATTTTTTTGGAAATTATGAATAATTTGTTCAAAACACAAAATATTTCAGAAAATTCAGAAAACATGAACATTTTTTGGGTATGTGAACAAAATTGAAAAGGCTGGAACTTTTTTTGAAATTACAGAACATTTTCAAATTTATGAAACAAAATTTAGAAATTGGAACATTTTTTCAAATTCCTCGAACATATTTTGAGTTTGCGAACAAATTGTCAAAAACATGATTTCTTTTCAAATTAGTGAACACCTTTATTGAAAATTCCAAATAGAAAAGAAAACCAAAAAATGGCAAATACGAACATTTTTTAAAAAGGGAACATTTTTTAAATCCCACAACGCTTTGTTTGAAATGCGAACATTCTTTGAATTTATGAACAATTTTGGAAAATGCGGCCATTTTTTTTTAAAATGAAGGTTTTTTGAAAGTTGGAACAATTTTTTAAGGTTACGAACAATTTTTGCGACATAAATTTTTTTCAAAAAAAAGTTGAAAAATAAGAAAGAAACGAAAAAAGAAACCGAAAAGGAAACAAGAACAATTTTTGACCAAAATTAGAAACAGAAAACAATTTTAAAAATTCCAAACAAATTTGAAAGTTGAACATTTTTGGATACGTGAAGAAAATATAAAACGAATATGTTCAGAAATTCATGAACATTTTTTGGAAAATTGCAAACAATTTTTGAAATTGCAAACATTTTTTTAAAAGTTGTCAAAATTTGAACAAAAACATTCTGAACAATTTTATTAACACAAAATATTTTTTGAAAATTCCAAACATTTTATGATAAATGCATACAATTTTTGAATTTATGAACAAAATTTGAAAACACGAATGTTTTTCAAATTTCGAACATTTTTGTAAAAGCGCGAACATGTTTTTGAAAGAGAAAACATAAACTTAAAAACAAAAAAGAAAAAAGAAAATAAAAAGAAACAGAAATAGAAAAATAAAGAAAAATAAAAAACCGATTTAGGAACCTTCTAAAAGGTTCCCAAAAGCGGAAAAAAACCAGATGAGAACCTCTAGAAGGTTCCAAAACCGGGAGTGCTGGAACGGTTAAACGGGCCGGCGCAAGGTCGCTCGCGTGTGCGAAACGCCGGCAGTTTGACACAAGGATATTCCGCGCCCTAGAGGCGCTCCTGTTCGTGGTGTTCTCCAGGGGAGGTCCTATTTGCCGCATTCTGGCAAAATGACGTCCCTTCGCACAGGGCGCGCCTGACTGGGCCGGGCCAAAATCTACAAAGCACACAAAGTGGGATGTCCTGATAGTGCACTATCCTTCCTAGCCAGTACGGCTACAGAGTTTTGTTGACAAAAACATAGCGCCACGCAAAAAACCCCAGGAGCAGCGGCGTAAACTAAACATTACTTAAGAAATTGAAACAAACAAATTCAAATTTCGATCATTTTTTGGAAATTAAGGAATTTGACAAACGTGAACAATTTTCAATTTTCAAACATCTTTTAAAACTGATTTTTAAATTCCTAAACATTTTTCAAAAAAGCGAACATTTTCTGAATTTGTATAAAAAACTTGAAAAAGGTAGATCTTCCGAAATTCGAAAAATTTGTTAAAACGGTAACATTTTCTAAATTGTGAGAACATTATTAAAAACAAAAATATTTTTTAAATTCCAGAACATTTCCTAAAGCACGAACTATTTTTGAATTGGTAATTTTTTAAAACCTTTTTTGAATTGGTGATTCCGGAACATTTTCCTAAAAGCAAAACATTTTTGAATTGGTGAACAAAAATTTAAAATAGGAACAAATTTTGAAATCTAGAACAAAGTTTCGAAACTAGGTGCAGTTTGAATATCCCGCACAATTTTGAATTACAAACACTTTTTGTAGATATGAAATAAATGTAAATGGAATCATTTTTATAAAATTTCAAAGAAAATTCTAAAACACGAACATATTTTGTAAAGGGCGAACAATTTTTGAAACTTTAAACATTTTAAAAAATGTGAACAAATTTTAAAATAATGAACACAATTTGGAAACAACAACAAATTTTGAACATTGGACGAATTTTCTAAATTCTACAACTAAACAAAAAAAAAGGAAGAAAGTAAAAAAGAAATGGAAAAAACAAAAAAGAAAGGAAAGAAACAATAAAAAAGGAGAAGAAAAATCAGTTCAGGAACCTTCTAAAAAATCGCTAAACCCGTAAAACCTGGCTAAGAACTTCTAGAAGGTTCCCGAAACCGGATACGTACTGCAGGAGATGGCCCAGCCCGATTGATCCCGCCCATGTACGTTTCGTAGACATTTTGACGCAGGGAACGTCAAATAGGATTTCGCGTTCTCCAGTTTTTTTTTTTGAACGAGAGTTGGGTCCCGAAGGACCCAGAACCTGCGTTAATTCTTAAACGGTGATAGTACAAAGCAGATTACAACAGGACCCAAACATAAACGGAAACTACCACTAGGTCCCTGGTTTTTGCATGGAGGACCCCAAACAGGAAATAAGAAACTCAATCGGGTCCTAATCAACTCTGGAACAGAACCAATCCCGTCGCCGCCGGGGACGCTACCACTTGGTGCGCCGGGATCTCCACAGCCGCTCCATCCGCTACCATTAGAAGAAGCTGGGGACTCCAAACCAGAGATGAACTGCCTCCCTTCAAGGCTCCAGGCCGGGAGGAAGATAGATGGCCGCCCTTCGGCCAGCAAGGTCAATGGCGAGATGAGGGCCGGCAGCCGACCGCTGAGCTGGCGCCGAAGCCCTGATACATAAGCCATTGAGAATGAGCTCTTACCCAATCCGTGAGATCCAGTTCGCTGCTTCTCATCCTCGCTCCATCCGTCTCCATGGCGGCAACAGAGGAAGGAGACAAGCAGCCGCCCCCCACCAACACAGAGAAGACGACGAGCTTATTGAAGGAGTCGCCGGCGTCGCTCTCTCCGATTGCACGCAGCACCTCACCGCCACAACCATGATGAACGACACCGCTAGCCACCGGGCGCAGCTCGCGTGCGCCGGCGGCGCGCTACGCCACGGCATAACGCCAGACTCCACTACGGGAAGACTCAACCAAGAACTAGCTGGATTATATACAAAGCTCCACGCACCTCTCCCTCCTCTCTTCCGGCCAGCATAGCCGCCGTCGGAGATTGGGGATCGGGCGGGATCAGGTGGCCTCGCTGCGACTCTCAACAAGAACTCTCTCGAGGGCCCTTGTGGATTAGTGGCGTTCTCCAGTTCGAATCCCCATAGGGGCATAATGTTTTTGCTGGATTTTATTATATGAAACACATCCGTGGGCTGCCCAGTACCTATGCTCGAAGCCCAACACGAGGGTGCTGTGTGTGATGTAAGAACCATGGACTGCAGGCCCAAGTGAGCGGAAGAAAAATAGAACACAGTCAACACACGACCAAACTGTAGTGTGGGTTGAATACAAAAAACACATGGACTTTCTTTCGAAATTACTGACGGTGAACGGGCAGATGCAATCGGTACTTTACTAAGGGATAGTAAAATTGAGCCTAAATTGAGCTCTCTCACCGATTTGCATTTTCGACCATCCGTTTTCGCGGTCTCAGAGCTTCTGGTCGTCTGATCTCGTCTGGGAAGCAATTCGCGCCGCACTGTGTGAAATTTGGCCCAACTGTCCTGTGGGCTGCTGCTTCAGAGGCCGAAATGAAGGCCTGTGGTATATTAGGATGTCCAGCAGCCCATTCTACTGCCTGGGCCGTCCAACAGCCCATGCACAGAGAAGTGGCCTTTAAGTGTGAAGTCAAATACTCCCTCCGTCCGGAAATACTTGTCGGAGAAATAGATAAAAATGGACGTATCTAAATTTAAAATATGTCTAGATACGTCCATTTCTCCGATAAATATTTTTAGACGGAGGGAGTACAAAGCAACACATATTGATGCAGTTGTTCCCACCCACTTTAATTATTTTCCTATCTGACTAAATGATATCCACTCTTTGTCCAGATCTTACAAAAAGGAATGGATTATTGAATGTTTGCTGCTCCATGGTATGTTTGATTGTGAATTTTTTTGAGCAAATTGGATAATTTATGGAAAATCTGAATTTTATATGATGGTAAGAACTTTCTTTGTGCATGATTGTTGATAAATTATTTTATTTGAGATTTGAAAAGCGGAATTTAGGTAGCCTTGCACGTGAGCATACCATTCCAACACAGCGAGACAAATATATATTGTGGTTAATGTCCAATATTAGTGCAACATGCAATCATATTTTCCAGTTGTTGATAATTTGCTTCAGCCTTCTCACCATCTATAGTACTTCTGCTTCAAAGGATCGATATGGGAGGTCACAAGAGTAGTGTTTGTAAGGGTGTTTTGTTCCAACCAAGATCAGTCCTTCTGTTCTTAGACTTTTTGCATGTTTTGTACTGGTATTACAAAGCTTTCATCAAGGTCGATGCACACTGAGGTGATGCTGGAGCTGTCATGCTCGAGGTTAATTTTATCCAACTTCGGCCCCATTGCGCACAGATGGACATCAATCCAAGCAAATTTGGCACAAAATACAATAAAAGTAATAAGTTAATTGTTGTCGGTGTCAAAACCGGTGGATCTTGGGTAGGGGGTCCCGAACCGTGCGTCTAGGCGGATGGTAACAGGAGACAAGGGACACGATGTTTTACCCAGGTTCGGGCCCTCTTGATGGAGGTAAAACCCTATGTCCTGCTTGATTGATATTGATATTGTGGATGTTTATAAGAGTGGATCTACCACGAGATCAAGGAGGCTAAACCCTAGAAGCTAGCCTATGGTATGATTGTAATGGTTGTTGTTGTTGTTGTTGTGTCCTACGGACTAGAGCCATCCGGTTTATATAGACATCGGAGAGGGCTAGGGTTACATAGAGTCGGTTACAATGGTAGGAGATCTACATATCCGTATCGCCAAGCTTGCCTTCCACGCCAAGGAAAGTCCCATCCGGACATGGGGCAAAGTCTTCAATCTTGTATCTTCATAGTCTTGGAGTCCGGTCGATGATGATAGTCTGGCCGATGATAGTTCGGCTGATGATGGTAGTCCGGCTATCCGGACACCCCCTAATCCGGGACTCCCTCAGTAGCCCCTGAACCAGGCTTCAATGACGATAAGTCCGGCACATATATTGCTTGGCATTGCAAGGCGGGTTCCTCCTCCGAATGATAGAAGATTGTGAACACCAGGATAGTGTCCGGCTCTGCAAAATAAATTCTACATTTCACCGTAGAGAGAGTAATATATACACAAGTTCGATCTGCTGACGTTTTTTGTGGCATGACGTCACGCCACTACCAAGCCATTACTTGAATCGTTTTTTACTCTACCACCTCAGCGCATTTAGCGAAGCGGTTTCCTTGGCACGTCTTGTTGAAGCAGAGATCGTGTTTCCCCTTAATCCGGGATTCTCATCAATACGGACGTGGGTAACCCAACCGCGCCCGTCGCCACGCCCCCTCTATCGAAGGCGAGTCCCAAACGGTCACGGAGACGGCTCTTGGTATTCTCCCTCTTTATAACGGGACCAAGGCTCGTTTCTTTTCTTCAATCCTCCATCGAATCCTCTTCCCGCTCCAAGTTCCAGCACCTAGAGCTCCAGATTCGAGCGCTTCGGACCTTCAATGATGTCCGGTTCCGACCTCCAGGGCCGGTGGATGCCCTCCTCCGTCACGGAGGAGGACGTGCTAAAGCTGCGGGAGGCCAAGTACCTGGCTTATGAGATTTCGCACAGGTTGCCTGCCGAAGGGCAGGCCATCCCCACCCCCGGGCCCGGCGAGTATGTCGTCTTTGTATCCCACCTCCGTCGGGGTTTAGACTTCCCGATGGATCCTTTTGTGAGAGGGCTCATGTTTTACTATGGGTTGGAATTCCACGATTTGGCTCCAAAGTCCATCCTCCATATTTCCGCATTTATTGTTGTCTGCGAAGCCTTCCACCGCGTCGCCCCTCACTTCGGCCTATGGCTGAAGACCTTCAATGTGGCGCCGAAGATGATCGGGGGGTGTCAAGCGGAGTGCGGCGGGGCGGCCATAAGTAGGAGGGCCGATGCCCCATGGCCCGCTGGCTCCTTCCAAGAGGAGCTCGGCCCGTGGCAGCAAGAGTGGTTCTATATCACTGTTCCGAGGGGCCGCAGACAAAAGCCGCCGCCCTCATTCCGCCCGGGACCTCCATGACGGTTGATGTCGTGGGTCAACCAAGGGCTGAACTGGGGGCCATCAAAGGACGTGCCCCAACTGCAGGGCCGGATTCGAGATCTCTAAACGAGGGAGGTCGATATGTTGGTGGTAATGCAGGTTATGCTGATTAGGCGTATCCCGCCCTGCAAACGCCGCCCTCTCCGGCTGTGGGAGTTCAATCCGGAGGGCCCACGGATTCTTCAACACTTCATGGGTATGACACCCCTGGAGATGTACAAATTATTCTTCGGATTGCAAGAGGCGCGTCCGGAATTAACCGAGGATGCTGGCCTAAGCTGCAATCGCCCGGATACTCAAGTAAGTAGTTCCAAGTCCGGACATACCGTTTGTTTGCCTTTCGATAATTCGCCTTACGACCAACTTCCTTCTAAATAGGAGTGGATAGCGGCAGCAAAATTGATACGGTGTCCGGCCCCCCTCCCCGAGACCGCGCCGGATTCCGTGCTGGTTCGGATGCTTGAGGTTGCGCCTCCAGAGGAAGGCGAAGGGGAAAGCAGGAAAGCTACTGCCTCGCCTAAGGAGGCTCTTGAAAGAGGGGGGATCGAGAATCCCTCCCTCCAAGGGGAGAAGAGGACTGCCTCCAAGGACCCGGGGGCAAAAGCCCCTAAACGGGGGAAGAAATCTTCGCCAGAGGGTCCTGCGTCCGGGGAGGCCCCGGCCGCACAATCTCCCTTAAAGAGTCAGCCCTCCAACGAGCCGTAAGTAGAAAGAAAGGAGTTTTATAATAAGTGACATCCCTATTTGTGCTTCTGAGGATAACTAAAGTTTTTACCTTGTAGTTCGGATCTCCGTCCTTCGCAAATGAGCTTGAGAAGGCGTCTATCTCAGAAGATCACCACGCATTGATGAGCATGGTGATTGAAAGGATTTCGTCCGCCGAAGGCGGGTTGCATAATGCCGTCAGGAGTTTGCTGGCCGGGTTTGAGGTGCATAAAAATGACACACCTTTTAACAGTTTACCATATAGAATGCGCCCTGTATAGATAGTAGCCCCTGAGACTCGGTAGGTTGTCGAAATCGACAGCGTGCCGAGGATCAAAATCGCAGGTTTAAATTTCTGCCGTGCCGATGCAGGTGGCGGGTCGTCCGGGGGCCAGCCGGACTGATGGAGTTGCTGAACTAAAGCGGCAACTCGCTGTTGCGGATGCGGACATCACGCTAGTCAACAGGCGACTTGATGAGTCGCAAGGTAAGTGTTTTTGTGCGGTCACTTGGTAAGGGGGCCGAAGCCAGATCCTTACAACATGTGCGTGAAATGCAGATAGTGCCGCTGCTGTGGAGAGCCTTCGGGCCGAACTTGCTCAAGCCAAGGAGCAGGCCAGAAGGAGTAATGCGGCGGCCTCGAGGGCGGTCGAGGAGTTAGCGGCAGAAAGGGCCGCACACTGCCGGAGCAGGGAAGAGATGGCCGTGAAGTTAAAAGATGCCACCGACCGCAATGAGGCTCTTGGGAAGGAGCGCCTAGCGGGGCAAGAAGACCTGGAGAAGGCCACCGCCGAAGTCAAGGATGCCCGCTCTGCAATGCGGGCTATAAAGGAAGAGCTGCGCCAGGCCGGAGAAATTGTAGCTGGCAAGCCTTTTCTGCTATGCCGAAGGTTCACAGATCCAAAGTATGCTCAGCTGGGCCAACTGTGGGGTCCAGAGGACCCTTATATGGACTTAGCAGCGAGTGCGGCGGATGCCGTTGTGCATTTTCGAAGCCAGAAGGATCACAAGACGGAAGAGCTGTATTGGTCTCAATTACATAGTCCGGAGCGTTCACTTCCGCTGACCGATCGTTTGGCCGAGTGGGCTGAGCTAAATAGGTTGTCCGGGCTTGCTATGAAGGATATAGTGACCCATGTCCGGCCGGATAGGCCCGAGCCGAAGAGTTACTTTGGCTTATTGCAGCAATTTCTTGGGGCGGTGCCGCATATCAAGGCGATGAAGCGGTCGGCCTGCATAGAGGGTGCGCGGATGGCACTCGCTTGTGTGAAGACACATTGGATAGAGATGGATGCCACCGCTGTTGCGACCCCGGGTTCGGATGATAACTGGTTACCCGCCGAGCACTATTTTGGCGAAGTGCTGCGTGGTGCTCGTGCAATAGAGTCGCAGTGCTCAAAAAATGTTACGTTCGAATGAACGTTTTTATGATGTAAAACAATATTT